CATTTGAGGAACAAATAATCTTCAAATAAACTTACTTCCTCAACCACCATCTGCCTTTTCACGACGTGATCATCATCTTCATATCCATGTTTTATTTTCCTGAAGGACATGGACAGAGGAAAGCATCCGAACCATAAACTGTTATCATCTGAAGACTACATTCATTTAGTAACTGTCTTTGGTAGTGCTCCTAAATTTTTGGTGGTGCTCCTAACTTTTTGAAGTTGGGAGCACCAGTGCTACCAAGTAAAAAAGTTAATTTCGAGCCCTGGTGACCCATCAATCTCACACACAAAGCATGTAAACTAGTGCATCAATGTAGCTCAAAACTGTGTAGTTATAGATCATATGTAGTTCTTGTCCGTGTCAGGTTGTTGTTTAACCGCAGCCTCAAAAGAAATGGATTCCACAGACTTTTATAACTGTTGTGAGCTAGAAATCCTGTGTCTAAATAGGGTGAAGAACAAGCTGAGCTATAGCATGTAGGCATTGCAATGCCATAGTCTTCTGAAAGTGCTTGAAATTTCTCATGGCTTACCATCAATCCCTCAAGACTTAATCCTGAAAGGTCACCGTGCCTAATTTTGTCTTTATTTTGCAGAACTGAATGTACCTTTATGGCTGTAGCAACCACTATCCAGATCCTCTGAAAGAAAAGATTGGTAGCAAAAACAGCAAGCCAAATGAAGAAGGTGGATGCTCTCACTCTAGTTAGGCAACACACTGCCAATCTCCATCTCAAAGCAACAGATTCAAAACTTGAATTCACATTGAGCCATCAAAGAGATGGTTAGAGATATTATTTCTGTCGAAATGATCTCTTGGACCTTCCTACACTGAAAATCACGAATCTTCAACAGAAGAACCAAAATGAAGCATACATCTGAAACGCTTGTCGACTTGAAACCCTCATGGAGACATCTGCAAAATCAACTTGGATCTGTCCGACTTCGATTGATACCACTGGTGTAACCGACCTGGGAGCCGCGAGCGCTAGACTGGCATCAAGAACTTTGGCACTGCATTGCTCTTGACCATCAGGGAAGCGAGATGCACTAATGATGCAAGCCTTAAGAAACCGTCTACACTCAATACTACCGCACAACCTCTTCCTGTTTTCGACTGCGGTTTCAGATAGAGGTAGGCTTAGATCCTACAGATATCCTATCTTACCTTCTGAGCCGCTTCGCTTGACAAGATGCTGCATCCTGGCTTTTATCTCCAACCCGGTGTTTGTATGTGATACATGAGCAGATCAGTGAGACCGATTCAATTTTGGAGGATAGATTACACGAGGCTGGAGCATGTGTCCACTTTTAATAACCTGCCCCTGTTCTTCCACCTAACCTACAATGGCACTATCTCGAGCTCAAATTAATTTGAAAGCTTTTCCCTAGAATGGGCCAAGTAGATTATGAGCTTCCTGGTTTATTTCATATCACAAACAAGTCGAGCATCAAGACCTACTGACTGTAAAACTATATTTTATTATATCAGTCTTTTCATGTTTATCAAACTCGCTTGAGGAGTTAATTTGGCTGTTTCTTGATGTGTATTATTATGTAAAACTTCAAAATGTATCACCAATTTATTAGGATTCTATAATGTCCTTTTGTTTGCTCGATTTGACAAGTAGTTGCATTGTCCTGTACTCGCTGACTCCCTCACAAAGAAAGTACTGTGGTGGTACCATTGTACAGTGGAGATGACTGATGGAAATACCATGGTACTCTGATATACATCATTGTAATGAATGACTACCATGGTACATGTCCAAAAAACTGCTTTTAACCATTGTGCTGTCATAAAAACATGGTAATGCATTCATGTTAGTGTATGAAGGTGTATATTCGCTACAACTGACTTGAAACGGCTCACTTTGTACTCATTCCCTGTTTTCATCTACAGCTGATGTAGGGGATTCGGTACAGTATATTTAGCTGCATTTTATGACCCAGCAAATCTATGAAAAGCATGATGCAGATTTACTTTTTTTTAATTATTTTTTTTATTTTAGGTAGCTCATGTATTTTTATTTTTCTATTTTATACTCAAAACCCACGACTTTTGCATCTTAGATACAAAACACCAAGTTACTAACCTGGCTGAATAAAACTCTTAGTATGATTAGTTTTGTGTGCTTTTTAAACAGACTGATCTGATTAGAACTGTAAGGGCCATGCCATTGATTTTATAATTTCCAACAAATACTCACAAGTTTGTAGCAAATTGAGCATGAATCCTTTCCAGTTTCTGTTTGCAGGTATTGACCTCCTCAGATTTGGGAAGCTCGTATGCTTTAACAAGACTTGTTATTCCTATAATGAAAACAGACACAATATCATGGTCCACATGGTAGATTTATATCCTTAATGAACCAATAGCAAAATCTTTGATGACCAAAGTTGTCCTTAACACAGCAAGCTTCCAAATAACTGGTTTGCCCAATAAGTTCCTATTATGCACAACAAGAGCAAATCAAAACTTCTGATGTATGGATATGCACTACATTGGTACGTTTTTTTTCTTCTATAGTTTTGAAAGAAGTCACTCACCAAGGCTGCAATTATTGAATCAAAAAATAGTAATACTTTAAATAAAATATTTACAATAAATTAATTTAATATACTTGATAATGTAATTAATTCCAGTGAATTTTTAGCAGCCATTACTCCAGTCTCACACGAACTGTCACAGAGTCTGTTGGCCATTCAAGTCTTTAGATCAAAAGGTTTTTAAGGTGATTAGAAATATAAATTCGGTCATATTCGGTCTTCTTTAGTCTTCAAAATGGCATTTCATAGCAAAATTGATCTTTTAGGAGATAAACCGCTCATAAAATAACTTTGATGAAGTTTATCAGATTTACCCACTGAATATCTGAGACCTTTTATGAAGTTATTCATCTCTTATCTAGTGACATTTTAACAGTTAAAAAAAAAACAAGAAAAATACTTACGTCTCATAGACTCATACATCTTTGAGAGGGTCTCTTTATCCTCCTTAAGCCCCATGCATCCGGTCAAATATCTGTAAATGTCAAAGAAAATACTTTTTAACATACTGCCGTCTCAACTGTTCGAATCTCTGAATGCTGAAGGAGAAACCTACGCCTCCATCTTGAGGCCAGCACGTGCAGCACCGTTAAGGACGGCGGTAAGGGCGATCTGAGACGGAGAAAAGAGGAGTCCAGCATCTGTCATTGCTGCTCTGTTGAGAAAGTCTTCTGCACTCTTTCTCAGCATCTCTGGGTTCTCTAACAATGGGTATCTGGTCTGAGAATACAGAAACCATGCACTTCAATTCACTTAATCTACAGTTAGCAAATTTTAAAAATGTTTGAGCAGCCCCAACCAAGGGCATGCATTTGGGGTGGGACTGTCTACAACCAGGCTTTAGACTCACCTTCAGGTCAATCAGGAAGCCCTCCAAGGGCCGATAAGGATTGTGAACAACCAGATGAAAATTAAGCTGCTGGATAAGAAGCAGCTCATACTCCAGAATCTGTTCTAGAGCCCTCTCCTGTCCTGCTGAGCTCTCCTGGAGGTTCCCCACAAACTGAGTGCTGGACACATTAAACTCATCCACTTTACAGGAGAGATACGCACTTGTCAACCTGCAAAAGTGGGGCATGAAGGTCAGAAATGAAAAATCTCAAATAAGTCATGATCTTACAACTCCTTCAACAGTACACTTACATTATCGTCCGAGGGTGATACTCCATCAAAGAGTTGTTCAAATAGAATCTTCGAAAATACATACAAGCTGTGCCCTGAGAAATATATACTGGTTTTAAAATACAAAAAGTCAGAACGGCACACTAGATGATCCCATCTTTAACTAATAAAAGTGACATTTATTACCACAACAGATTTAGGCATAGCAGGCTTGAATATGGCACAGAAGTCTAGCAATCTCTTCTCATAGTGTCTGAAGAGCACTTTCTCTTCTTGTTCATCAAGAAACATGGATTCATTTATTCCAGGCTGAAAAACAGATGAAGTCTAAGTATGATTGATGTTTATGCTGTTAACACTATAAATGGCTGGATTATTGTGATTTGTGGATAGATAGATAGATAGAATATTTTGTAGACTTGCATGTAAAATAAGCGTATAAAGAGAATTCCTGCAGTTGTCACTTACCTTCCCACTGGACAAGCCTTTTGAGCAGACCTTCCGATTAGCTTCTAGTCTTAATTTATCTAAGGATTCCTCTTTATCGTAAATCCAGAATTTCTTCTGAGAGCTGTTGTGATACATGTTGAATATAAAGCTGTGGACAGAACAATACAACTATTGATTACACACCAGATACGTGCATTCTGACAAACCGCAGCTCTCGTGCACAAGTCCAATAGGTAGCAGACGAGTTATGATAGATATAATATGACGTTATGATATAACGTTACACATAATAAAGTCTACATATATTTAAGAATCACTAGTATTTAAGTTAGTGCAGTGCACTGCCGAGGCAGTTAAGGCAATTTTTTTCAGATTTAATTAAAAATATAGTTTATTTTAAGGATGAAATATTTCTGTCTCACCCCTCTTGGGCACACTGTGACGCTCCGTCTGTGTATCAAGGATGGTCGTACAAATATTAAATGGGTTTAAAAGATTTAGCTATTGATCTTTGTTTCAACCAAGGTTTCAACAGTAGACATGCGCGAGAACGCGTCGCGTACGATTCACGACACCTTTTAGTCGCTTTTGGATGATGTCGATTGTGTTCCCCACTCACGAGTCTGACTCATTTCTGTGAATCGGCTCTTTAGAATAGTTTGTTTTAAAGATCCAGATCATACAAACAATTCAGCAATTGTTTTACTTCATGCACTAGGGGTGTCAAATTTAGTTCAGTTTAGCTCCAACCTTAATTAAACACACCTGAACCAGCTAATCAAGGTCTCCAGGATTACTAGAAACGTCCAGTCAGGCGTTTTGGAACTTGTTTGGATCTCTGTAGGACAGTGGCCTTCCAGAACCAGAGTATGTGCCAAGGCTTATCTTCTTCCCACCCGCTAAAACGACCAGTTAGAGCCATTTATAACCACACAATGCATCGTTTTATAAAGGTCTTTTTTCAAATCATATTTCGTTTCTTAATGAGTTTAGTTTTTAAGACATTAATAATTGTTGTAATAACTGAATTGGAACAAATTAAATTATAAACAGTGAATGATTCGTATTCGTGTTAATATAACTCTCATATAGTCACGCCATACACACATTTAAGTTTTATTTGTAAAATTTCAGCACTGCTCGATTAAGTCTGATTCATGTCCGAATCATTCTGACCGAACCGGTTCAACTGATTCACTGAGAAGATCCAACTTAAAAGAATCACCGCCAGAGTTCAAATCTCCATCGCTTCTGAGAGAACATAAACATGGCCACGAGGAAATATTTCCGCAGATCAATTGAGGAAAGAAAGCGTATACTCGAGAAATATGACCAGCTTCCTCCAATGTCCCAAAGAGCTGCAGCGCGTCTGCTAAACATCTCAGGGCCGCTGCTTTGTATCTGGCTCCGGAAAAGGAATATTAAAAATGCCAAGTCTAACCTTCCCAGGACTGTCTTTCCATCTCGCAAGACGCCTCGAGTAGAAGCTACACTCTGGAGGTGGATCGATACTTCTCGTGAGAACGGAATTGCAGTAGATGATTCAACGATTCGTAAAAAAGCGACTCTGGTGGCTACAGAAATGGGCCTCTGTAATTTCAGTGCGAGCACAGAATGGTTGGCACGCTTCAAAACACGGGAGACAGTAATACGAAAGATGTTCCAGGTCGACCGAAAAACGGGAGACGCACCAAAAGAGCCCAAATCCGGTAAGGATAACAAAGCGGCGGAGCCTAAAAGCAACCTTACAGCCAAAAAGACGCATCGAATCGAAGCTGCACTGTGGCGATGGATCGATCATTCTTGTGAGAGCGGCATCAGCGTAGATGAATCGACGATTCGTTCAAAAGCGGCTCGGTTGGCCAAGACTGTGGGTTTCCGTAACTTCAGAGCGAACACAGAGTGGTTCAGCCGCTTTAAAACACGAGAAGGAATCGTACGAGCGATGTTCCGGATCGGCCGAAATAATCGATCTTCTGATTATAAGACGGTGGCACAATTGGTACCAAGGATGGATTTCACATCTACAAAGACGCGACAGCTTGAAGCCGCGCTTTGGAGATGGATCGATCATTCTCGAGAGAACGGTAGTATTACAGATCAAATGATTCATTCAGAAGCGACTCGGTTGGCTAGGATGATGGGGTTCGGTAACTTTCGTGCAAGCGCAGACTGGCTCAACCGATTTAAACCCCGTGAGAAAGTTGTACGAGAGATGTTCCAGTTCGAACAGTGTTCAGAAAATCCACAAAGCGACCAAACGGAGGACAGAAGTGCGTCTGATCAAGTTACCCAACAATCTGACGAGAGCATAACGGACCAGTCTAGCGATGAAAGCGACGAACTAACGGATCTGGACATTCCGAAACTCGAACCGACAGTGGTCACGGCTGAGCTCAGCGGTGATTTACACACGGTCACTGTACCGTCACTGTGGCAAATGAAGGAGGCTATGAAAACACTGGCTACCGGGTTATTGTACAGAGGATTCTGCGACTTTAAACTTCTGCATCAATTTGAAAAAGAGGTTAACACTGTTTTGAGAAGATCTGTTGCCCTAGGAACGCACAACGGCTTTCAAGCATAAAATTCTGGGACTTAAGTGTGTTGTAGGTTTTTAGTAGATTATGTAGTGTAAATATAATAGTGTTTACACAATCATAACGGGACAGGTGCAACACGGGCTCTCTCAGGTGACCACATGGGGGCGCCAAGTGTTTGTTATAACACATTCTCATATGTTCGACACGTGGTTCCATTACCCTTTTTTTTTTTTTTACCCAGTTTTTATTTTGCAGCATTAATGGGTGTTACATTATGAAGGTGCTTAGGTTGTCCTACGATTTTGGTTTAAATGTTTAAACACTGTTAAATGACTGACTTTATTTTTACGCAAAAAATAAAAGCTTTTGATAAAAATCTGTTGATGACGTTCCTTTTTTTTTTATACACAAAAAAGCAGTTAGTTAGACCAAACATTTGCCTTTTTTTAAAAAGCCACAGAAGCTTATGAAGCAAGACAGAATAAATTACCAACCTCCTATTTGAGTAGGGCTGTGTAACCTAATTTGCATAAACATGAGTGATTTATGAATAATAAATGTCCTTGTATTCAGCGCGATCCATTAATTTGCATATCACCATGGCATTACAGTTATTTGTCCTGTGTGCTGTGCTACCATGAAGCGATAAGAACCTGCATAAAACCGAATCAAAAGGTGAGTATGTATTGCCTTTTTACACTCTCTAGTCTCCTGCTGTTGTTGAGGGATGATATATGTGTTTTAACCTAAATAACTGGCTTTTTATGCTTTTGAGTGGGCGCAGGCTGTTTTATGCTTGTATGTGGCTACAATCACTATCATGTACTAGTGCTCTATCATTGTGTGAATTGCATAAACATGATGTTTCATTGCATTATTGATGAGATCCAAGCTCTGCCTTATAGGCAGCTGGGAAGATGCGAAAACTGGTGAAGTGATGGATCATGAGATGATACCTAATATATACATGTTTCTTTGATGGCAGCTTCTCAGACCCTCGGTCAGTGTTTTGTCGTTATCAGGTGGTCTGGTCGAATTAAAATCTCATTTCCACATAGCACAGGTATGGACAGGTAGACTGTAAGATTCCCTCTTCTGAATCCATCAGAGGTCATTTGCATGATCTGTTTGTCATGCAGCAGCTGATAGCTGCTGTCAGCACTGCCTTCAGCCTGGAAATGCGGGCTTTAGGTAGCCAAGATATTTTACAGTTTGACATTTTGTATTGGTATTTAATGCAGGTGGAGATGAGTAAGGTGTCAGTGCTTTTGTCCTTAAATTGCGAATGTATTCTGGCAGATGACTTTATAAGCTGATGTCTTTGGGTATTGTTGTTTGAAACAGGTTGGTCAGAAATCAGCTGTGTCTGACACTGTCCACAGTGCCTCAGTTTATCTTTATTTATCTTCTGTCAATATTTCCTCTCTGTAATTTGGACAAATGATGCATACTGATGGTTATGAATAAATCAATGTCCAGGCTTGGTAAATTGATGGTGTGGAGAGAGAGGAATGTCTTGTATTACTGTCGCTGTGATGAACAGCTGTCACTGTGTCCCTCGGCGCCCGGATATGTAAGGCAAAAAGTCGAAGATTATTGTGCTGAGGCTCCTTGTTGAGGTCTGAGCAAATAATAAACTCGTTATGTTGCATTCAGGCTGAAGTATGTTTTATGCACGTATTGAAAGTGTATGTCGGGGCTTTTTTCACAAGTATCAGCTCGGATCATCTTGAAGGAGCAATATCGTGGCATTGGCCCTTTATTTCTGTTATATGCAATATGCTCTGAACTGTGAGCATTGCAACACAGAGCCCTTGAAAAATCTTCCAGAGAAATGTACCTGCATAATGTCAGTCAATGTTACCCATCAAAATGATTGTCTATAGGCTACAAGTAATGGCTCATGCATGTTACGAGAACATCCGTTCAGACGTTCCGTTGTGGCCTTTATCAACTTAACACCATACAGACTCTATAGAGAACCAAAACTCACTATGTTCAGTGCAATATGCTGGAAGGTAATATGTAAATTTGATTTGTTATGTAAATGTGTAGCCAGTAGCACTTCACCTAGTGCAATATCTTGGACCTCTTTTGTAAAATGTTGTGCATATACTATTCCTCTTCAGAAGTGTACAGTGTAATTCTATTTTTTAGACAATTTATAAATTTTTTTTATTATATATTGTTTCATTTATCAGTTTTAATATTTTTACATTTAGATAAAGTTAGATAACAGCAAAGGTAAATTTATTCATTTTTTATCAATATGTAATATCCATTTTTGCACTGAAGTGATGCATAAATTCACATTTAAAACATTTTATTTTATTTCTTTGTTTTAATTTTATTTAGACAAAATAGTAAAGAAATCGATGTCTTTTTATAATTTTTATATTGTACATCCATAATATTTGATTGATCTTTTGTTGAAAAAAAAAAATCCTCTGAAAGAACCCTTTTTCCAACAGTCAGATTTACTTTTATGCTGACAATGATTCATATTTAGTATTTATTTTTCTTTTGAACTGCTTTTAAACCCAAGTTTTTGGTTTGGGCTTTGTCATATTTGGATGTGTACCAGACACTGGCACTGAACAAAGGCAAGCCCAGGCGTTCACATATCATCCACTCTTTATGCAAAATTAATGCATGCACCCCCATGACAGCATGATTTAATTTCCTCCTTTCATTTTCTGTCGCCCGTTGCCATGGACACCGACGGAGGGCTGTTGTGATATTAGCTGCTACAATATGGACAAGTGCAGCTCTCTCCATGAAGCAAACAGCTACTAAATCACATGACCTCATCAAATCTCTATTCTGCTTGCAGACTGGCTGGCACTGTGCCATGATCAAGGGATGTAATATATTCATAGCTTACTTACAATTTCAGGTTGAAAAACCGTTGACGATTTATGTCAGACGTACCCTTCGACTCATTGGAAGTGTTATATTGACAAAACCAAACTATTTTGAAAATGCATTTGTCAGAAACATGACGAATATTCCCATAACATATTTTGGAGGATAGCAGGATGCTATTGGCTTGTGGTCCTCATTGCGACAAAGGCGATTGCACTAGACAGGATGGCGTCATAACACCATGCACAGTGTTGACTGTGTTGCCACCCAGATCATGTTGCCTGCAATGACCAATTGTGTGTGTTTATGCGTGTGTGTGGAAGCGTATTAGTCTGCCAGTGGAGTAATGTATGCCTGTGAATCCAAGTGTGGAGATCAAAATGTCTCAGGTTGGCATTGGGCACCCTTCCCCCATCAGTTCCACCCCCTCCACACACACACACACACCACAGGTCCCATCCTAACCATATCTCTCTAATTGGGCTCTGTCTAGATTCCTCAGCTTAATATTGCATCCTATTTGCTTCTTGTTTTCAGTGCATTTCCAGCTGTACAATACCACACTACGATGCCGACTTTTAGTTTTAGTTTCAAAACTGGTTACACTAGTTTTTTGTGTTTCTACCTTTTGTAGAACTGCTTACAGCTGATTAACTTCACAATGAGCTAAACCGACACTGAACTGACTTGAGCTAAAAAATCACACTATTGTCTTTACAGCAGTATCTGAATTGTGTCCCTGAGTTTCCATAATTGATTCTGCTAGTTACCTGTGCATCTTTGTAAAGCTGTTTTGACACAATCTGTATTATATAAAGCGTTATAGAAATAAAGGTGACTTGATTTGATTGGACAATTCAGTTCTTTGAGTGTAAGATTTTATGGGAGGCTGTAACTAAATAATAATTTATCAGTTTATTTTAAAGGAACAGTTCAATAAAACTGAAAATTGTGTCATCATTTGCTCACCCTCATGTCGTTCCAAACCTGAATGACCTTCTTTCTCCTGTGGAGCACACACACACTAATTCAAAATATATTTTGTCTTCCTCAGACGAAAGAAAGTCATAAAGGTTTGGAACAACATGAAGGCAAATAAACAATGCCAGAGTTTTCATTTTTTTAGATGAACTATGCCTTTAAGTGATTAATTTATTACATTGCTTTTTATAAGCAATGAATTATTTTTCCTCACTACTGAAGTGACTAAGAAAATATGGACACTCCTGTACCCCAAATCTGAATTCTGACCACTCTCATTCTGACACACTTCTCAATAGCAGTGTGCCCTGTCAATATAGCTGAAGGTGAATAGATAATCAGACAGCAATCAGAAATTGAGATCTGCCATTCAAATGTTATCTTAGTGTGGATGAAGAAGAGGACGGGCAGCCTGAGAGTGCAAGCATTCATGTGAAAATCCAATCCTTCACAGTACACAGCCCCCGCAAAGCCTGCAGAATGACCCTTTTATCAAAGTGCCATGTCCATAGCTCTTCAAATAGCCAGTGCGCTCTCAAGGAATAGATGCATGTACAAACCTGGCTGAGTAATGTATGACCTGTCTTCACAATGTTCTGGGTTTCTGACCCTGCCGTGTGTGTGTGTGTGTGTGTGTTGTGAGAGTGTGTCTGTATGTTGTCCGTGGTATGTTTTGAAATGGGCTTCTTATGGTCAGGCATACAGAGCATTAAATGTGTTATTTATGTGGCTTTCACATGTGAAAATTTTATTTTCCTGATAGCCTTGAGAGGGTTGAAATGACAGTGTGATAGGGCAAGAAGGGTGTACTGACACTGAGAGATGAAAAATATGCTATTGAAAATGCATTATTTTATTCACAAATCGCTGAAAGTTGTGGGGGGCAAACGCATTATTGTACAGTAAATCATTTTAAAAGGTGTTGGGGAAAACAAAACAAAAAACCACAACAACATTTGGTTTGTAAGGAAAATATTATGGGCTACTCTAGGTCGGAAAACTATGATGTCATCAGATAACTGTCAAACTCCAAATCATGAAGCAGAAAATAAAGGAATTTTAATTATAATCTCAAAATGAAAGACATTTGAAATATTTCCCCCCCACAAAAATTCCACTTGATTTGCATATTTTTAAATTTATACAGCATGTTGGTTTTTATCATTTAAAATGTAGTTTTCATAATATTTGAGCTGTATGTGTGCCTCTGTGTGGATTTGACTTTAATTGCAGATGGCCCCCTTGTGGTCATTATTTCCAAAATGATTTTCGTAATAGACTATACTGAAAAACTAATGGTAAAACATTCATAATCCCTTAAAACAGTGCTGATTCTTTGCCGTTGGAAATCTG